CATTGGCAGCGAGAGATTAAAGAACCGCTATAAAAGGGCCCGCTCATGAGGAGCGCCTGAGACACTCGCATACGCGTTTAGTTATCGCATATTTAGTTACACCGCATTTCGACACGCTTTATTAACCGCTTACGACAACCGCTATTCTTTTGTGAAACGCCTATAACCGACCGAGCTTTTATTTGGAACTTTTGTAGAATTTGTGATCGTGTTAATTATTTTGTTGTAATTAAAAACGTGAACAGTACAAGCGAGATTTATTTTCCGCGAACCAAAACATCCTCGCACACACTTTTCTAATTTCGCCTCGCTCTCGAACAGTTACGTACAATAAAATACATTTTTCCTGCTACGTAATGTATAACATATATCTGTATTAAAAATTATTTTCCCCCTTTTTATTACCTTTGCAATAAAAGTATTAGATTTTTTTCGATTTTTTATACCTTTTTTACATATACGTTTAAATACTGATATTTAAACATAGATATTTAAACAAAACAATAAAATTTTTATTTATTGATATAGATATTTAAGCTTTCATTACTTTGCGATTTCTATGAATGAGATTTTTCGAATGGTTTCTTTTCGCCGCTTCTACATAGCGATATATATTTACGCATATTTGATACCTCCGCGCGGTTACCGTATTTTCACCGCACTGCTAAAAAAGTTGAACATATTGTTATTAAAAATGCTATGATAATATAATTGTTCTCGTAATATATTTATATCTATTCATATCATTATTTGTATATCTTGATATCGCCCACTAAATACATAGCGTTATTCCTTACCAAAAACTGAGACGAAAAGTCCTGAGCCATTTTTTTTTATAACGCTTAATAAAAAAGTTATTATTGAGTAAAGTCTGGCCAATCAGCGCCGACCTTTAGCCGGGCGCACGTCGGTGAGCCGCGGGCCGTGAAGTGTGTGCCGCCGCATACTAGCAGGCGCGCGGCTCACCGACGTGCGCCCGGCTAAAGGTCGGCGCTGATTGGCCAGACTTTACTCAATAATAACTTTTTTATTAAGCGTTATAAAAAAAAATGGCTCAGGACTTTTCGTCTCAGTTTTTGGTAAGGAATAATGCTATGTACTTAGTAGGCAGTCATTACTGGTCACCCTGTATATATATCAAAATATCATATATATCATATATATCAATGTATTATGTCGATTCCAAAATTTTCAATACATATCTCGAAATGCCAAAATAATAGTGCGTTACAAATACTCATGTACGCGCACACACATATTAGGTCTCAAGAAATTTTCCGTAGCTATGTTGAGTGTGTCGGAGGAAACAGATGAACTTGATTTACCGCAAATCAGTTTACATTCGACACGCGTATCATCTTAACGATCTCGCGAGATCAGTACACAGGACAGAAAGCTTTTTTATTTCTTTTTGTTTCGTGTTTCGTGTTTATTATCCGTAAAGGATTTTACACGCAATTATTATTCGTAACAGATTTTTGCATTTCTGTTCGAAATATATTGTGTTTGGTGCGGAGTGCAGTGTTTTTTGTTGTTGACTTTAACATATAAAAAGAGGTAAAGAACCATAAAAAGCAATGTCAAATCAGTGTCACGTCGTTGATTTTCACGATAAGTGCGTGTATAAAGACTGCACGAATTCAAGATCCCATGGAAAACGGTTATATAGATTTCCGCTAAAGACAGATGAAAGACATAATTTGTGGATATGCAACAGTGGTAAGTTTTTATATATTACATTAATTCTATTGTATTTTTTATTTGTATTTCTTGTATAATACAATCGCTAAGCATTGGAGAAAAATGTAATAATGAAATATGGAATGTATATGTGTATAATTTTAAATTTTTATGTATTGTCGCTTTAATATTTAATTTTATGATTAATTATTTCTAAAACATGCGTACGTGCGTGCGTAAGTGTTTGCGTGCGTGCGTATGTGCGTGTAATTGATACAAGTAAATAATACATATAATATTATTATATATAATGTATATTATATGTATATATAATATATATATTATGTGTTGGAAAGATTTATTTTAATTTTTCTGATCACCATATTTTATTTATTAATATAATTTATATTAAGAAATTTTTATTATAATATATATATATAATATATTTTAACATTATATATTATATATATTTTAACAGAAGAAATTAAAAATTATATCATATGTAACCTTTCGTGGACTTGATTTTACTGCAATTTATATTTAATATATATATATATATATATTTATATTAAATATTAACTTTTAAAAACATACATTAAGTATACATTTAATATACATGGTATATATATAAACATTGTACAGAAGGAAGAAGTGGATGGTAAAAATCAATGATATCCACTAATATTTTCGCTACAGAGGATTGTCTTTCATTTGCATGTAAAATTATGATTTAAGATACGTATGATATATTTTTTCATATTACATGTAAATCTAATTTTATATATGCAGTATGACGTTTTGTTAAAAATATTATACTAATTTATGCTATTTTAGTTTATTCTCATAAAGTTTAATTTAATGAGAATAAAAAGTGTGTTTGAGTTTTATTAGATGTGTTTATTATGATCGACTTATCGCTCGCTTTTTTGCGATCTACCGCTTGGATTGAACAATGCGCGTACGAACGGGGGTATCGGCAAGCGTGGTACAACGTAAAGCGTAACGCGTAACCCTCGTACCGCGTAACACGTACGAGCCAATTCATTCCGAACACTCGAAGCGAACGGTCAACAACGACAATGGTAAGTACAGTACAGATTGTTACTTATTTAATACTGTTCTTGTTTTAATTTTGCCGACTTGTTAAAACAAATGAGATGGCGCGAGGAAGATAAAATATTTTATGATATCGTTTTTTTACATTTTAAAGTGCTTCAAATTCGAATGTGTACAATAATCGTGCATGTCGGCATGTCTCTTACGGTTATTTGTGTCGGCGAATAGAATTTTCAACACGTCGAAATTTCAATCTCGTTCGTTTTCAAGGTATCTCGCTTTAGCCTTTATTAAATGACTAACTTATATTTGTATTGTTTGTCATAAGTTTTTAATCTGTAGTGCATAATTTTGAACCATTTTTTCAGGAAAGAAATTGTGCTGCCGAGACGGTGCCAATAACGGCAACGATGCCGACGACTGCGACGACGGTAACGATGCCAGCGACGGCGACGACGGTGACGATGTCGGCGACGATGCCATCGATGATGCCGGCGACGGCGACGACGGCGACAATGCCGACGATGATGCCGACGACGGCGACGACGGCGACGATGCCGGCGATGATGCCGGCGACGGCGACGACGGCGATGATGGCGACGATGTCGGCGATGATGCCGGCGACGGCGACGATGTCGGCGATGATGCCGGCGACGGCGACGATGTCGGCGATGATGCCGGCGACGGCGACGATGTCGGCGATGATGCCGGCGACGGCGACGATGTCGGCGATGATGTCGGCGACGGCGATGCCGGCGATGATGCCGGCGACGGCGATGCCGGCGATGATGCCGGCGACGGCGACGATGGCGACAACGGCATCAACATTGTCGGCAATTTCAATTACATTAAGTGTAAGTATTACATTTTATAAAAATATTTAATTAACTACGATTTCATGTCTTAACACATGTCTTAACATTTATTACGTATTTATTATTAACATTTATTCCTAACATTTTATGTTTCAAAAACAAGAATTAAATAACATGATAAATTCGGCCGTTCAATCGGCCGTAAGAGGATGGGGAAGAGGAAGAGGAATACGAGGCAGGGGCAGAGAAGGACAAGGAAGAGGAGGACGAGGAAGAGGAGGACTAGGGATAAGAGGACGAGGCAGGGGCAGAGGGGGCAGAGGGGGTGTTAATATGTATTTCTATAATTAAATATTATTCTTTTCTAACATTCATTGCTTTATAATATTAATGTATAGCTACTAATGCAAGAAAATATGAGTAAAAATAAAAATAAAAGTTTTATTTTAAACAAAATGAAAGCACATCCAAAAAACCTTTATTGGAATCGTCATATCCCTTATATTACCTCCTACTTCAAAGTTAACATCAGTGAATCTATTAAATGTAACGGCATGTAAGGAGGATGCGCTTTTTACATATTTTAATACTCCAGATCCAAGTCCAAAAAGGATAGCAGAGTCCATTAATTTGCCAACAACTACTTCATTATTAGTAGAACATCCTACTATGTATGTATGTATGTATGATTTATTCGTCCCCTTGGGGTTCGAAGGCGTTTTTTACCGGAACGTACCCAAACCTTTACACTTTCTTACAAACTCCTCTATCTTTCCACCCTTTACCCGACCTGGCCCTTTGCGACCTCACACACTTTCCTCCCTCCCCTTCCTCGTCCCCCATCTCCCTCCCACTACCCCTTTCTCCACCTTCCCTTCTTTCCCCCCTATCTTCTCTCTTCTCTCCTTTCCGTCTCTCTTTCCC